AAAATAAAAGCTGCAACAATGTACCGGGCCTGTTAGTATGTCTATAAAGTCCTTAATGACTGACAGAACAAGGCACAGCCTAAACCGCTAATGGCAGAGGCATGAAACTTGAAACTTGTTCTATGAATTTTCCAGAAAATTTACCTGAAACCACCGATCTATTCGAAAAAAAAAAGAATTTTGGTTCAATTATGTGAGAAAAACTTTTCTTTCCAGGAAGAGCACCTGAGGTATATCTTTTCGAAAAATCGTTATTCTAATTCGATTTACCTAATATCATAGCTCTTTGTGTAGATTAAAATGTAAACAGATTTTCTCTCTGCAAAGTGGAACGGGGATCAATCTATTCGGAAAAATTTGATTTTTTCCATTTGCTCGCTCGTACGTTTTTATGTTCGCTGAATAAGAGGCTTGTGCGGGGGATTATTAGGTTTATTAGGATCGTAACGTGTTCAGTATATCATAATTAGTACAATTACAAGGGGTTATTGTTATTAGGCAATTAGATTTTAAGCTATCGTCAGCCAAGCAACAAGGCATAAAAGCGAGTGAAAAGTGAAACCTATACGAATATCGTTGCAAAACACGAAAAATCAGTTGCGACCATAATAAATGAGACGTCTTTGGCTTAAGTCAACTTTTGTCCGGGAAAAACCATGATGTTCAAGTGGCACAGTTTATTTAAACCCAGCCCCTGGAAGACGACCCAAGACCCGGCCAGAGCATCATCCAAAAGATGAGGAAGAAACGACTCGCAGAAATGCTTGGAGTAATCGATACAAAATGGAACCCGAAAATTTTCATGCCTCTGCAAAAATAACATCACCTGGAGTGCATTTATGGACCGCTGTAATGAGGAGAAGCATGGTATATTAAGTTCAATTGTTGCTGAAAGCTAAGCTTGGGTTCATTATTTTGAGGCTTGCTGCGGAGACAAAAAAAGTGTAGAGTAGCCACCAAGAAAATTAAGGTGTCACAGTTAGCTGGGATATTCTTGACAACGATCTATTGGTACTCGAGAGGAATATTATGGATCGGTTATAAAGGCAAAGGTGTTTCTATAACTGGAAAAACTACGCTTCAATATTAGGACGACTAAACAAAGCCGTATTCAAATAGTGGTGTCGTACTAACATCCAAAAAATCATACAAAATTAGTTTAAATAAAAAAAAAATAAGTAAAATTTTCTAATTGCGGTCACCCTTCGGCAGGGAATGCCAACCCCTCAGAGTGTATTTCTGACATGAAATAAAGCTTCTCATAAAAAACCATCAGCCGTTCGGAGGCCGCTTAGTATAAACAGGGACCTACTGTTTTTTTTTTTTTTTTTTTTGAAAAAAATCAAGACGCAAAACCACAAGGAGGAGGAGCTCGGCCGCAAATCGCTTCAGCGGTTACACTATGCCAGTTATATATGTTTATAAAAGAAAACATTGAAGAGAAAAGGGGGAAAATTTACAAAAAGATATGCGCTGCTTTTGAACGGCAACTGGCCCGTCCACAAGCGCCGCTTTATCTCGGGGGGTTTCCATATTTTGAATCACACACCCTACAGCCCAGACTTGGCTCCGAGTGATTTTTGCCTGTTTACAAAAACGAGAAAAGCGCTGAGAGATCAACAATTTATCACTGATGTTGATGTCAAAGGGCAGTTCCGGCGTATTTTAAACTTAAAGTGAAACTTTTTATTATGACTATATATGGAAAATAATTGAAGGATCCGTCTTGCAGGCATAATATGAAAAGGAAAAATATTTTTTCCCGCTCTCAAGGACATAAAACCGCGTCATAGTAATTTTAATATATTTCCAAGCTTTCAAAGGGACTTATTTATAGCATTTTTACTGAGAGATTTGTGCAAATTTTGTATATTCATATGCGTACATACATATTTGTGTACTACAAGTTGATGTTTACAAAAAAATATATTAAACCACAAATATGTGCGCAAGATAGTATAAATTCTATATACACGTATATACACTATATTTGTACGAAAATTTAACAAAACGAATGTTTAACAGATGTGCAAGAAAATTTATCTGAATTGCTAAGCAATTCCCAATAATAGCTTTAGTTAGTACAGCTGATGATTCAGTTGTGCCTAAATTCATAGATACATATTGACACACACACATAATTGCACTTGACATCGTCAATCATAGCCTTACCGTCAGACAGAAATTTGCTATTGTTTGGCGAGGTGTGAAATATTTACGAGTATGTTTAGTTTAGCGAGATTTTAAATGTTGACTAATTTAGGCAGAGAGATAGTAGAGAGCGAGCAGCAAGGCAGAAAGGCAGAAACGGATTAAATACGAGAAACAAAATTGCGAAACATTTCTAGTGATTAACAATCATTATTTGTATATATGTATTTAAATTTATGGTATGTAGTAAATGTAGTATTGTTTTGGCAATAAAAACGTTTAGTTATTCATTTCTTTTTTTTTATTTCTTGGGCAATCTTTTACAGCAACTATAATTCTTTTTAAATGCCACGGCGTACAGCAAGAACATGATGCAAATCCACGCATCGCCTTAAATTATTGCCTACAAAATATTTTCGCTCTAATACCGTTGACCTCAACCATGAGGTGTACGTGCAAATAAATTTGAGAATTTAATTGGTTTTCATTTGTGCTAAGCCAATCGGCTTACAAATAAATTCAATGTCAATAAAAATTATTATTACACTTGAAATCGTACATAATTGGACAAGTGAATGTGTCATCGACTGCAGACAGTGTGGCGCGGCATAATTATGTTCACACATTCATACAATTTAGGCGTAGGCAAATGTAAATGATCGCTATGAGAAAATCAACGAATTTCTATCAAATCAAAAATATCAAAATGAATTGAAGAGAAGAAAAAAAATTCAGAAAATGTACGACATCTAGAAGACGTTGGTAATCCTAGAAATTATTTCATTTTGACACCTCAGAGAAAAATGAAGTGAAATTATTATAGGTGCGCATCAGCCAAAAGTAGGGCACAAGCTTCTGCATTTTGTTTTTCAATCAAAAGTTAAATCTGCGTGCGGCAAGTGGGTCATTGCAGCCACAAAACGGCAGGTAACTAATGCTAAACAGCTGCTGCGTTGACTGCGACAGTCGATTGATGGACAGCAGACAGACAAGGCAGGAAAGATAGACAAATAAACGTGCTGCGCCGTACATTTACTTTGGCTGACCACTGCAAGCGTGGGCAGGCAGTACTCCCCACCAAACAGCCTTGCTGTGATTTAGTTCAAAAGCTAAATTTTTATAGGAAAAGATTTGCAAACAAAAATTAGTAAACATAAGTTTACAGTCATCGGTGGCTTATTAGGAAAGATGCTCGCAAATACTGACACTTGCAGCACTATTTGAAATGGTTTCGATGGAATAAGTGCCACTGTGAATTTATTGCCCGATGAGTGAAATTATTGCAGACGAAAATCTCATTCGGTGATGGTGCTTCGTCGAACCCGAAGAACTGCACGAGCTAGTTTAGTCGGCTTTTTACACTGCACTTTTGGGTTAACAAAATGGATCGAAAAGTAAGCCATCTGCGCCAACTCCCCAACACCAGCGAGACCTTTAATATTTTTAAGGGAAGATGTTCAGGGAGATGTCGGGAAGACGAAAGTCGTAGCAATCTCCCCTACAAAAGTTCTCAATTTCTCTTGGACCATTCTTATAATTCCCGATTTGTGCGAGTTGGGTAGAGCGGTCTCGTTGCTTAAACCGAGAAGAAGGGTCTCTATCATCCATCCTATTGTTTCCCCAGTAGCGAAGACAATTCAAGCATTCCTGCTTCCGTCCTTCACACACCTTCTAAGCCCAGTATCAAAACCACACAGCCATAAATTCAAAGGCCACAATCAAAACCAGCCCTGCTCGCGAACTATCCTAGTAGTACCGGATCTGTCAAAAGCCAAAAACAACAACAGTTGGAGTAAGAGATACCTGCGGTAGAGTTTTGAGATAAATCTTCTAAGCTTCTAACCTCTAAGCTTCCTCTTCCACCAAAAGGTGTTTTCTGATCTCATATCCGATGACTGCTCGTTATTGACGTCTGGCCAGGATATTGGTAACCTATGAACGAAAGCCAAGTCAAATCGTTAGCCAGCAGCACGAGCCTAAAGCGACAACATACAAGGCAATTGGCCGGCACTCATGCCACCTTAAAACCAGTCGAAGTCCCGTGATGACTTGAACTAGTCTGGCTTGCTCCTAAGCGGGGCTAGCGAACAGCTGTAAAAACAATATGATTTCGAGCTCATTCATCCACTTGTACAGTTTAGTTGACTTGTATATTGTGCCCGTACCCCATTCATTCATCATTTTGGTCGAATATCAAAATTTTTCTCCAATTATGTGAGCATCACTGTCCGCGTAAGTGGTTTTAAATAGCAACCCACGCAGCAGCAATAGCCACAAATGCAATTTGCAGTCAATCGAGGAATGGTGTGACGCCAATGCGCCGTAATTAACAAGGGAAACAGATTTTTTCCTCTTTATACTACATACAAATGTGCGCGGTTTATATGAATGCATAATTAGTTAAATAAATTTTACTTTTTATGATTAGCACCCGTTGGGAAGTACGAGTATATTGTGAGAATTTCTTGTTTATAAGGAAAATAAACATTTTAACGAACTCTGTGGAAAATTTGCATGAATTACATTTTATGACAGTAAAACACTCAATGAGTTCATTTCCGTAACCGAACAACTAAACCTAAGATATGGTGGAATATTCAACTTTTTGGCAACTGAACACAAACAGCATTACAGAGTCATGATTTTTAACTTTTCACTTAATTTTATTGTGATTATTTTTGGTAATATCAATACCAAATGTAACAAAAAAAAAAAAAGTATCATCTAATAAATTATATATTTCTGTAAATTTCGATATGTTGTTGTTGCTATTATTGTATGTACATTAAATTATAATATACCCAACACTATAAATTAAAAATATTTATGAGCAATTCACGTGCACTTACCTCCTTTTCTTTCTCTTTCTCTTCCGCATCGTTAGCTGAATCTTGTCGTTCTGGATCGAGCTCCTGTAAATGCAAAATTGAGGAAAATGAGAAAATATTTCAAATTATTAATGTTTAATTTCGATATTTAAAATGCATAAAATTCATAAATTACAACAATTAATCAACGTCAAGCGTGGCGTAGTGAATAAAAATATAACAGATGCCCCACCAACAAATGCATTTTAAAATTAAAAATTGAAATTTGCAATAAATTATAGTAGACATACCCAAATACAGCAATTATATTAACCAACACTCACAACTGTAGATTAATTGCGTTTCTAAAATTTCGTTTTTCTATTTAAGACATTTTTATTTCAGGAAGCGGAGGGTAAATTATAATTAATATTTTTTGTTATTGTTATTCCGTTTACCTAAGAGCTTTTTTTATTTCAAAAGAAATTCAGAAAATTTTGCATAATTTGCCGCCCATTGCATAGGAATGAACCCGGTCATAAAACTCATATAAAAAACAAGTAATATATATCGTATATATTTGGGTATAATTAAACTTTTTCCCAATATTTGTTTATACTCACATCCATATCGATATGTACAACGCCGGTGGATCTTCGTTTTGGTTTCCGTCTTCGTTGTATTGCCGATTGAGCAGACAAATTGCGATTATCATTTTCTTTGTCATTATCTAAATGAGAAAAAGGTAATAATAATCAAATTAGATTTTCGAATGAAATTTATTAAAAAAAAACTCAATTTACCTTTATCATCATTAGTTTTAGATGTCGCAATAGCGGTAGCGGCTGTAACGGTGGCTGTTGTGTTGGCTGCAGATGATGTGGCGGTAGTAGGTGTAACGCTGCTGCTGCTGGAGTTGCTGCTATAAGCACTATTAGCAGATCCACCAGTGAGTCTTCGACCGAAAATGCTAACACCATCGTTGCTGTGAGTATCGTTGCCAAGCAATGAGCTGGATGTGGTGGCATTAACTGGTGCAGAAACTGGTCGTCCAATTGAATTCAACGATTGATTCGAGGAATTTACTGCAAGAAATAGATGAGAATATTATTATGATATATTAGGAAAATTTTCAGAAAAAATGTTACAAATTACAAACAAAAAATAAAATATGCAAAATAATATAAAAAAAAACTTTTAAAAAACAAAATTTAAAATGAAAAATAAACTTTTTAAAAATTGAAAAATTATTTTTAAAAAATTTTAAAACAAAATAAAAAAATATAAAAAATAAAAAAAATATATTGAAAAATTATATTATTATAATAAATAAAAAATATTTAAAGAGGTAAGAAAATTATTTAAATTTAAAAAAACAACTATTATAACAATTAAAAAACATATGAAAAAATAAAAACAATCTATTAAAATATTAAAAAAAATATAAAAAAAATATTTAAGAAAATCAAAAAAATAAAAATAAAAATAATAAAACCATTAAAAACTGAAAATGAATTGCAAATTAAAAAATATATACTACATTAAAAAAATTAAAAAATAAAAATCTATCAGAAAACTAAGAGCGTTAAACAATATAATAATTTACAGAACTTGGAAAAAAGTATTTAAAAAAATATTACAAAGTATTAAACGTTAAAGAATAAAAAAAAAATTAATACATAATAAAACAAAAAATAAGATTTATTACTCTTATTTATTTAAATATTAAAAGAACTAAAAAGCATTAATAGATTTAGAAAAATATCAAAAAAAGTAAAAAATGTAAAATTATATTATTTTATACAAAATGAATAAATAAAAATTTAAAAACACTAAAAAACATTTGAAAAACAAAAAAATATTGAAAAAACAAGTAAAAAAATTAAAAACAATATTGGAAAAAGTAAAAAATTGAATAAATATTAAAAAAAGTATTAAGATATTTATATTACAAAACGATATACATACGCATATGTACTTTAAAAAAGTTTAAAATATTAAAAATGCGTAAAAAATTAAATAATAAAAAATTTAGGAACAAAAATATTTTAAATATTAAGAAGTATATAAATATTTATACTATGACAATTCAAAAAAAAAAATATAAAAAATATATATATTAAATATTTTTAAGATATAAAAAAATATCAAAATATAAAAAATACGATAGAATATCAAAAACAAATGTTAAAAAAAAAGAATTAAAAATGAAATATAATATATAAGGAAATAAAATTATATTAAAAAATTACATTTTTTATATTTAAAACATAAAATTTAAAAATCAAAAATATTAAAAGTAAAATCAAATATTATTTAAAAACATTGAATATAATATAAAATAAAAATAAAACCTTTATTTAATGTAAAACATTCATTTTATTTTAACTCACATGAATTACTGTTGATACGCCGTTGTGATATGGTTGACGATAAATTGGCAGCGGCAAGAACAGCTGGCGCACTTGGTATAATTGTGCTGTTATTTGGCGGAAATGTATTCCCACTCGATGCATCTTCCAGTTTGAACTAAATTTCGTGGAATTATTGTAAATAATATTTTCTTCCAGTTAATATAGGAGATATTGGCGCGCATTATATATATATATATGTAGGTACAATTTTCAAAAGTAAAACTACAGCAAAATGTGCTCTCATAATAATGATAATAATAGTTCGGAACCGCACGTTAATGTTGTAATGTACATAGGAAATTTAATACTTCGGGTGGTTGGTAGCAAAACGTTCTACAACACAATTAGGCGGTGTATGTTTGTATAGGGGGATATACGAGAAACACAGAAAATATTAAGATAAGCGTGTGAACACAACTTACTACAAATTTCGTTTTTTTATTATTATTATTATTTTTTTTTTTTGATATTTTAATAGTAACTTTTTTTACGATGCTTGATGTTAAAAGTAATATTTTATTTTATCTTTTATTTCTTTACCACAACCGTATTAATGAATAAAAATGGTTTTATAATATTGAATTTATTTGAGCTGCTACTGAGGCCGGATAGGAAATGGCGAAAAAAAAGTTAACGATAAAAAGAATTAAAAATTTTACAGAAGGTTTATCATATATACCGTTGAAAATGCTCTATGCTTTTTTCTTATTTTTATTTTAATGTATAAAAAGAAAAAGTAATCTGTTTATCTTTTAAAAATCAAAAATCTGCAAATTTTACTCTTTCATATATTTAAATATGCCTTTTGGGAGAGAAATCATTGAGCAATAGTAACCGGAAATTTTTTTTACGAGTTTAATATGTCAATAACAAAATTATGTACTTCTCTTATACATTTTATATCGGAATCATTTGAATTTCAGATTGCAGTAAATAGTTGCAATATCGTTGATATTTTGGTGAAAATGAAGGGCTAAAGCATCAGTTTTCAATACTACACTGTCAGTAACCACAATTGGTTTCAGCCCAACCCAATATCGAAAGTGTACCCCGAACATTTTTGCGTTTTCTAGTACGTCTAGCTAGCTGATAATCTCGAAATAGTATCCGCTAAGTCTGCCCAAGGAATATATACTAAGTCCTAACTAGTTAAAAAAAAAAATATACCAATTATATATATTAAATTGATTAGTTAAAGCTATTTCAAAAATCCATTTTTGAACACAAATTACATTGAATACGAATGTATGTAGATGCGATTGTTGGCAAAAATTTAGCAGATTTTGATTTATTTGTTGAAGCGGAAGAACATAAATAACTAAATAAAATGATAGGTGAGTTATGGTGCACATTAATATTACATTTAAATACAAATATAGACATTTACATAACATTCAAACAAATAGGTAACGATTTCATGGCGCTTAGTAGGTGAGACAAGTTAAGGTTGATTTAGATATGTGTGTATGTTGGCATAATTTAACAGTTATTATTAAAGAAGTTTATATACATTAATACACAGTTAGTTTAGAAAAGCAAGAATTAGTGGTAACAACAACAATAAGATGTACGAGAAGGCAAACATGAATATGGTATAGATGATGTGATAGAAAAGCTTTTATTTTTGCTGGGTTACTTTTTTCACAAAATAGCATTATAAATACAAACTACTACTTCCAATCGCTTTCAGGTATAAGTAACTACAGGTCAACATACAAATTAATTAAATTATAAAATTTAATAGCTACTTTTTTCAAAATGTGTAAAACAAATTAATAAATTAATTGTAAAATTAATAAATTAAATATAAAAAATATTAATTTATTAATGAATATATAGTAGATAACAATTTTATGCAAATCGGTTTGCTTTAAAGTTAAATATAAATAGTTTTGACATTAGGAAAAAATAAGTAAATGTGAAATTTTTATATAAATTTAAAACATTAAATTGAAATTAGTAAACTTCATTTATTTTTAGAAAAATAAACGCTAATTTTTTATGCAATTAAGAATTTACAGAATTTTTGTGGCAATTATTTTTTAGTTTTTACTACAAAAATTTGGAAAGAAAATACAAATTTTTCATACATTTTCATTTAGAGCAAAAGTAAACTTTTTTAAATTTTTATATTCTTAAATTAATTAAAATTAATTAAAATAAATTTAAATAATATTTCACATTTTGCTAGTAATCCGTGGACCAATTGTTTGTTAATTTTTTTAATATTTTTTTATTTATTTTTTTTTTTTAACATTTCGATTTGATTTTTTTATGGGTTATTTACGTCAGTAAAATGTATTCAAATCTTTACATTCATGTTTTTATGACTGTCTATGTTATATATGTGTATGTATGTGTGCATTTCACTTAAAATATTTTTTCTTGCCTTCTTCAATGCTTTTACAGAAATAAAGAAGAAGAAAAAAAAAACGAAAATGCGCTGTGTGTCTTGTGTTGGCAACGCTGGAGCTGAATCATTTTCAAACTTTTGATGGCTGGTGTGTGGTGATGGCACTACTAAACAACGGTAACACTAAATATATTATACAACGCATATAATTTGAAATATATGCCGTGTCCCTTTTGCAATCTCAAACAAAATTTCTTTACAATTAGCACATACGAATACCCAACTTTTTTACAAAAGAAAAAAAATCGACATTTTTTAACTACGAGCACAAAATAAACGAACGAACCAACGCACGAGAACGCGTGTTGCGATATCACGACGTTTAAGTCGAAATAAAGCACTATTTTGGGTTGTACTATTTGATGGGTGGTTTTGGTTTTGCAAACTGAATTTCGCTTCTTTTTTTTTTGATTTTTGTATAATAGGGACGCACGCATGCGCGTACAATGCATTACCTTACAGCCAGCATCGAATTTCAAACGCCAAGATGGTCGTCGCTCAGCCATTGTACTACTACTGCTGCTGGTGCTGCTGGAGAACGCCGTCGTTGTTGTTGCCGCGTCTATTTGAAGCGCTACTGTGCCACCGCTACAACTACTAATACTATCGATAACAGCATTTTTGGACTGTGCCTCGCTTGACACCGCCGCTGGTGAATCTTTATTATCATAATTACTGTGCAGTGACATTGAGGAGGAGTCTAAACTGCGTCGGCTGCTTAGTAAGGTTTTACCATAATTTGTAGCGCCGGCTAAAGCGAGTGGTTCCATATTGGCGGTGCCACCACTTTCCTCTCTCGCCTGCTGTAGCGCTGGTGGCAAAGAACGTGTTTTGCTAACGACAGCTGACGACACATCGCCTTCGCAAGCATATTTGTTCGCTTCGTAGCGTAACCGTTCCGCCAATGTTAAGGCATTATTGGTGTCCGGTTCGAAAGGTATGCGCTTTTCACGCAAACGCACAGGACTTTCGATTGTTGGCGTATTCGCGGTAGCGCCACTAGGCGTTGGGGATGTCGTCACAGCAGGTTGCGTTGAGGAACTCGCCACGCTGACCAATGGCAATGGAATAAGTGTATTTGGGCGCTGGCGATCGGTATAGGAAGTGGTTGTTTGCCCTGCGTATGTTTGCAGCTTTTGAAGTGCGCTTTCGCTGCCAAAGCACTCAGTCTTTTCAGTTTCTATTTCATTTATCTCAATATTTTCACTTTCATCTGTTTCTACATCTGCTTCCTCATCAGCATCGGCGTCTTTATCCTCAACATTTTCATCATCATCCTCTTCAACCTCTACTTCAGGCTCTACACCTTCCGCATTTGGAGTTTCTTCTTTGACAGCATTTTCATTTTGCTCTTCGGACTGCTCTTCAGACTCATCGTCGTCGTCGTCATCGTCGTCGTCGTCGTCATCGTCGTTCGCGTCGTCATCGTCGTCCACGTCAACCTCCTCAGCTTTGTTTTCATTTCCTGTTTCTAACCTATTCTCATTTTTACTCTCTTCGGATGCGTTTAGTTTTTTTCTAACGGTTTCTTGATCTGCATCCGTTTCATTGACTGTTATTTCCGGTGGTGTCACCACTATCGTCGTTTCCACAGTTTCAGTGGATGCCGCGCTGCCCACATACGAGTGTCGCGGTGTTAGCGTGTATGTGGCAGTAACTTCCTCCTCATCATTATCATCTGTGGTTGCTTCGTCGGTTGTTACATCGTCTAGGATTGTTGCTTTCGTGCTAGAATTCTTTCTAGTTGGCGCAACGATTGTGAAGGTGGCAGAAACATCTTCGCCATCATTTTCCACATCGTCTTCACCTTGCTGCTTAGCTTCAGCGCTTTCCTCTTCTTCTTCATCATCATCCTTACTCTTCTCTGTTCGCGCAATGACTGTGTTGTTGGCGTGGTGTTCAGGAATTGGCGTTTCAATATCAACTGATTGGTTTGACTCTTCTGATGGAAGTTGTTGCGTTGCTGTGAGTTGCTCAGTTGTTGGAATTATTATTGACTCTGAAGTTGTTGCTACTATTTCTGCAGCTACTTGCGTTTCATTCTGTTAATAATTTGTTTTTTTTTTAATTGAACGAAAATCATATTTTTGTATAATCTTTTGGTATGTGTTATATGTACATATGTACATATATGTACGTATGCATGTGTTGTATATATGGTAGTAGTTAAGAAATATTTGCGTTAAATAGTAATACTAAGTAACTAATTACATAAATATTTAACTAAAGAGCGTACAGTTTCAAATGAATACGATCGAAAATACTTTTTTTTTACATAAATTTACGCTTTATTGAGCGCACTAAAATTTTTGCAAATCAATTTGTTTCTAAAAATAGAAAAATAATAAAAATATTCATGCATTTCTAAAGTTGCAGTTCATGCAAACGCACAAATATATCGTATCTAAATAATATTAATAATTTCGAAAATAATTACAGAGATTTCGCTTTGATATTTAATAATCAATATTTAATTTCATTATAGTTGGTGTTGAATGCTTTTGTTCAATATCGTTTTGAAATTTGACAGGAGGATGTAAATACATTTCCTAATTGCATACACATATGTTGTTATTAATTTATTTGCCAAAACTTTTCGAAATGCATAGAACACAAAAATATTAATCTAATAAAAATTTAGTTTTTAATATTATTTTGCCTGTGAGAGGTTTTCACCATTTTTATAGTGAATTTTAATAATTTCAGTGCGTTGTTGAAACGTGTACCGTTTTCAATTTTTGCCACTGACGTAGTTTTTACTTTTAAAATGTCAAAAAATTACACCTTCAAAAGTGACATCTACCGGAATGACAGGCTATTCAAAATAACACCTCTTAATAGAAAACCCTGTTTATTTTTTAGTTGAATTTTTGTATAGTAAAATTCTCACAAAATTTTCTGGTAAGAACAAATATTATTGAGAACGTTCGAAAGTTTAAAATAAAGAGATTTAAAAGATAATATTTTTTTATAGAAAAGACTATTTGTAGACTGTAACTTCATATTTTTGTATTAAAACAGCATTTCAATATTTAAGAAAATCTCAGTAAAATTATAGCCGCCAACTGAATACAGTTTTCAAGAATTTAAGAATAAAAAGTAACGAATTGAAGTTGGTTGTGGAAAGTGGCTAATTAACCCAATCTTTAGATTTCATCAATATATATACATATATATTTTTCTAATATCCATTTTTAAGATCTTATTTTGTGAGGTTTTTTCGCCAAAATTAACAAAACGAAATCTCAAATGTTGTAATTTATCAATTATTGCTCATTTTTACAATACGATTTTGATAAGTTCTAAGGGTCTGGTGCACAGAGTGGCATAAAAATTTAGTCAATAGATAAACCGATACAAAAAATAACTGAATAAATGCAAAATATTAATAAAAAAAAAAGAATCCAAAAATTACTTGAATTTTTTTATTGCAAAATTTTTCGCAAATTTCGAACATTATGACACAATGTGACCACCGTAATTACAATAGAATAAATAATTACATTTGCTAACATTAAATATTTCGCAAAAACCAATAGTAATATATGTATATGCGTAATGTATATTTTAAAATATTTAATGCATTCCTTACATATTTATAGAAAAAATACTTTAGTATATGAATAATTTTAACTATTAGTTTCATAAAAACATATCTTACGAACTGCTTTAAAGAAACGTTGAAATACGACAATACAAAACGGCATATTCCTAAACATACAATACAATATACATATATGCAAAAGTGCTGTCTAAACTAAAATAGTTCAAAAACAAGTCTCATACATAAGTAGTAAAGATAGAAGTAGAGTTTCAAAAAAAAATAATAACTAAATAAGTAAAGGCGCGAGTTTGTGTAGTCCTGTGCAGATGAACTCACATACGAGCATGTGAATATATTTTAGATGCTATTAAAAAGTATCGGCGGCGGATGCTGTCAGTTGTTGCTTGGTTTAAGTATTTCTGCATAATTTTTATTACTTTAAATTGCATTATTATTTTTTAATTATTTAATACGCTGATAAGGAATATTTGCGCTTTTTATTTTGTATTATTCATTTATTAATATATTTTTGTTTGGTTAATGACACGTTTTAGCGAATACTAAAACAAACAACACAATAATGAAAGCGTCAAAATGCACGAAATTGGTGGGCGGCGTATATGAAAATTGTCCCTTTTGGTTTGACAAAAAAAAGTGTAAAAAACTGACTATGCTTCAGCATAATTACTGCAATTTCTTTAGTATTTTTTTATGCTATATGTTGCTTTTTATGCTTTGCTATGCCATTATGAATTTTATGTATGTACATAAATGTTGTTTGCAAGGCAATGTTCCCTCTTTTTTTTACACTATAAATTATGAAATTCAATATACCGCATTACACCATCAGATAAAAGTAGTTCCAAAGCCTAGTTGGTGGTGGAGGTGGTGGAGCTAGTGGTGATTTCCACAAATCCAAGTAGTGGGTTGGTGATTTATAGTAAAAGTGAGTGAATTTTTTTTAAGTGTACAAAGTGTTGGATTTTGTGGTGGATAATATTCGGTTGTTTGGTTGGTTTGTGGTTGCTTGGATCGGGTTGTAATGATATTGGTGGCGGTACACTACGATTAATTTATTATCCAAAAAACCAACAAACGATAAGTATTTATATTTAATATTTAAACTAAATTTAATTTTTAATAACATTTCCAAATAACAGCACCACTTCCAAAGCATTTAAAATGTGATTTTCAAAATGTGTATTTACGTTTCGATATTGACTGACTGTTTTTGAATGTAACAAGTTTTTTTTTTTTTTTTTGTTTTTTGATGAAAGAAATATGGAACAGTAATAATTTTTAATGGAATTGGTGTGCAATGATTAACAAATTCGTTGGCGGACATGGTGAGATTGTTGTTGGTGGTGGTAATAGTTTTCTTTGTTCTTTTTTATATAATTTTTTTTTTTTTTTTTCGTGACACAAACACCTGAAGGACATTTGGTGCGGTACAAGATGAGAGTTTTACATTGACTTTCGTTTTCAATTTAACAAATACAAAATAATTCAATTGACATGTACTGTAAACAATATTAAACACGTGTTGACAATACAATTTTATTATAATTAATGATAAATTACGGTATATGTATGTCTGTAAGTATATATATGTATGTATGTAAATGGTATTAAATTATAGCCTAAATATGCTTTTATTTAGTATTTAAATAGCAATATGTAAAGAAAATATACATATATATTTTCTGTCAACTTAATTGTTATCTGCTCTTAAGCTTGCCGATGTGAATTTCAATTTATTGTGATTATTATTATTATAAATACTATTCGCAATTGTGTACTTACGCTGCTGCTATTATTGTTGTTATTCATATTTGAATTTTTCTTTTTGACCAACTCTTCGGCACTCTTGATTTCATCCAACGTAACACCCTGTGTGGAGCGACGCGTCTCACGCACACGTTTAGCGTGCGCTTTACGTTGTGTTTCACTCTCCTCGTCACGCACGGGTGGCACAAAGGATCTGCAAAGGTGTTAAATGCTTAGTTAGTGATGTATATAATATGTGTTGATATTTCACAGACGATGTCAGTGGTAGTGGGCTAGTTTTGCAGAACGAGAAATAGTGAACAGTCATGCACGTGAAAGTAGAGTATGCTGAGATTGACATTTTGGTAATGATAAGTACAAAAAAAGCGGATTATTTGAATGTTTTTAAGAGCAACGTAGAATAAGAAAAGACTTGTAGTTTTATTTTCTATGCCTTTATCAATAACATTGAGAATTTAATGCAGTATACTTGCCAAATCATCGGCATTGGTGTTTTAAAAATGGAAACTTTAATGAATGGGTGTAAAACAAGGAAAATGAAGTGTTTCGGGGTGTCAAAATCACACATCTGTATAAGATTTTTTACATTTCAGTTATTATATATAGTAAGCAAGTTGACATCCGGTTTTATAACATCCTCAGCATTACATTTTATAGAAACTTCTATCAAGGCAATTAGTCAAAAGGCTTTGTGCGAAATGGCAACCAACGCAAGTTTAAAATTTGGATTTTTCTTTGTGACGTTTGGAAACCAAATTTTAAATCTTTATAAATATTTTTTTATTCATTTAATTTTTTTCAAATAATTATTTTTAACATAAAGAATCATGCCGCAGTGAAAATGGTGCACCCTAGCTAAGTTGCTACATATAACGGAACCTTTTCAGTATCTTCAGTTATTTTGGTGCGCTTACTTCAGTTAACATTTTTGCACTGAAATGAACACGTATTTTGCTTATTTGTTGATTGTTTAGTTCTCAACATACTACGATTGAGTTGCGAAATTTTATTATTGAGCATTATAAAAATGGAAAATTTCAAAGATAAATCGCCAAGGTGGTTAAAAAAAACTCGATAAACAGTTGAAAACATCATACACCGGTTTAAATATAAAAATCAAGTAATAAACAATTGAAAATTATTGTATAAAAGTTTTTCAGGGAGTATCAGGAGAGGTGGATTGTCAAACAAAGCAAGATTGATCCCCGGCTGAGTGCACCAAAACAACGTGATCATGGAAAAATATCAATATCTAAATATTTAACAAAATAACCTTGAACAAAGTGCAGAAAAACTTGATAGAAAAGCCACATATCATTTTTACCAAGGCAACGATCGCAAACACACGGCAGAAATCGTAAAAGAATGGCTGCTGCATCATTGCCCCAGGGTAATCAAACCGCCTCCCAATCACCGAACATAATCTAAAATTTATGGCATGAATTGGAAATTGAAATAAGGAAACACAATACAATCGAGCAAAGATGACTTAAAAAATGCCCTTTCGGAAGAATGGTGTAAAAGTGGAACCTATTCCAAATGTTTTACGGATTATACGCCAAAAAGGGTATTCAACAAAATATTAGCAATAGTGGTATGCGCGTAGTACTTTATTGTTGCTGGTAGTCCCTTTCACTGTGGCATGAGTTTTCCTCCTATTTTGTAAAATGTTTATTTGTATGAAATTGTATGTAATTGAATAAAATATATTTTTTCACCTATATTTTTGCTATTTATTTTAATTTCCGCTATTTTTACTGTACATATGTATGTATATATTCACAGTGAAGTACTAGTAAGTAAGTGACCCAGACGTTGTGTAGTACTGACAATAAAAAAAAAACAAAGATTAATTTGTCATTTTAAACACGGCGAGTTAGAGCGTGGCTTACAACAAACAGTCAGTAAACAACAAACGGTTAATCAAAAAAAAACATTTTACACGTTTCTAACAAAGTTTGTGAACAACAAAAATAAAAAAATTAAAAAAAATAATTAAAATAAAAGAAAATTATTAGCAACGTTAAAAAATATATAAAAATTAAACTTTTATACAATTAAAAAAAAAATTATTAAAAATTTAGAAAAAAATATTTAAAAAAAAAGTTCCTTAAAAAAAAAAAATTAAGCAAAAACAGCATATTAATACAGCGCAAAAACATAAATTTCCACGACGAGAAAACCATATTTACTTGAAGAAATTTTTGAAAATCGAGCCGGCTGACATTTTCTGCTTTGTAGTAGTAGTAGTAGTTGGTGTTGCTGGTGCAGCTGCATCAGAAGTAGATGATGTTGACTGCTGTTTAGTGTCATTATTATTATTATGGTTACCATTATTGTTGTTATTATTGGCAGTGTTTGCATTTGTGATCGTATTACTGACAATATTATTATTATTGTTATTATTATTGCTGGCAACACTCGCGGCAACTTTACCAGCAGCACTTGCTGGACTAGTGGGGTTGCTATGAAGGGGGGAAATGATGAAGTTTGTTTATAAATCATAGTAAGAAATGAATAGAATAAAGAGAAAAATGTAAGAGTTTAATTAAAAATAAAATGAAATAAAAAAAGTAAAAAATTGAAATTGTTCAACGTGAGATAAACAAGAGAGCGAGAGTGTTGGAAGAAGTGAACGCAGATAACAGTCCGATTTGTTGTTTCTTTTTTATATACTTAGATTTTAATACATATTTTCCATTGCTGAGAGAATATAGCTTTCAGTCATTATCAACTCACCTGCGTATCGGTGTTGTTGTTGTTGTTGTCGATGGTGTAGTAATGGTGGTGGTTGTTGTTAACGTAGTCGAATCGGCTGTTGATGGTATGCTAGTTGTGTACGCTGTCGTAATAGCTGTGGCCGACGTATTCGTCGAAATAGTTCTAAATCAAGGAAAAATAGAAGAAATTTTAAATAAAAAACATTTTGATTTGTTCATATTAATCATACACTGTAAACACATACACATTTACCAATCAACAAATTACTAAATTTACGCACATACACACATTATATTAAAATGATGATAGTTAAAAAATGTATTAAATAAAATAGCAGTGAATAAAGCGAAACGAAACAGATGACTTATCAAAATATTCTTTTTAATTTTAATTAATTTTTTATTAATATTTTTTTTTCATTTTCTTTTATATATTACATTTCAATAATACAAAAAAAAAAGATTGAAATGAAAGCAAATTAACAAACCTGTAATTTCTATGATCTTTGAGTGATGCCGATCTTTGTACCGAATAATTTGGAATGGGCGTGTAAACGTTGCCTAATGCGCTTGTGGGATTATTGATAATGTTGGTGGTGGTTGTGGTTGTGGTGTTGGTGGTATTTATGTTATTCTTATTACTGTTATTTATATTGTTACTGTTATTGCTATTGCTGTTATTATTGATGTTGTTATTGCTATTACTACTGTTGCTATTGTTATTTTGGCTATTACTGTTACTACTGTTGTTACTATTATTAAGTTGCTGCTGTTGCTTAGCCGGCAATATGGGACATGAATTGGCTTTTATGCGTGCGCGTAGCTCATGATATTTTTGATAGAATCTGATTTTTCATTTTCCATTTGTTTAAATTTTTTTGTTTGAAAACAAGAAAAGCATTAGATAATATGCATATAAATTTATATATAGCAACAAGCGCGAGTGTTCAAATTACAATATTTAATATATTTATTATTATATTATTTATTTATTTTTAATTTTTGGTTAGCAGGACGATTTGTGGTTGTCGAATGGTGATTTGTGATGGTGTTGGTTGTAGTTGTGAGCATAATATGTAGTAGTAATAGTAGTAGTGGTGGTGTTTTGATGATTTTTATTTTTTATTTGAGTGAGTATATGAAAAAAAATCATAAACAAATAAAGTTTTGTATTAGTAATTTTGTCACAAATCATTTCAAATATAATTTAAAAATATATATTTTTTTAGACATTTTTGAGAACAAAATAAAATAAAATTCAACGCATTGTTTGTGTATGTAAAACGATGTCGAAGCTGCACTTAAAAAAAAAAATTCGGAAACTAAGAAAAAAAATCCACAAGAACTCTCTCTTTCAGCAACCGCGTTTGTTTTAGCCCGCACAAATGCACATTTGCAACTAATACATTGAATGAATGACTTTTGATAGGAACTGAAATAAAAACACTTTAACACAAAAATACATATATGTGTTACAGATAAGCAGTAATATCTGCGCAAATGTTTCAATTTTCTAATTCAATTTGATTGTTTGCAACCTTATCAACTATTAGACAATTTTTGCGTAAACATTTTTTAATAGAAAATAGCGTAACTTGAAATTCCAAAGTATAAATTTGTATGTAGACCGGTACTCGTTGGTAATACAGGTAGCAATAAAATACTTTTGTTATGTGTGCATATGATGAGTAAGAGAAACCGCTTATATGATAAACTCTTGAAAACCAGATCTATTTATTTGTCATTTCAGACACTCTTATAAAGAAAACTAACCTAACTAACATTAAGCAATATTTTTAAATGGTATAATAAGTAGAGAAGAAAGTCAGATATCATTCCAATATGAAACAAATTTGTTTATTATCATTTAAAGTAAACTTAGCTCAAACTCTTCAACAATGATGTTTATGAATAATGCTAAATAATCGATAAAAGTGCAACATGAACAACTTGCCGAGTGACTGATAATGTACAATGGTGCTTATGAAAATGGAATGCAAAATACACACCAGGCATGTTTGAATGAATTTGAAATGAAAAGCATTATTTCATTCGTTAAAAGCTGAGTTGCTGACTAATTTTATATGAAAATCTTGACACGTTTACATACACAAACACACTGTGACACTAAAAATTTCAAATTTATTTAGGCAAAAGTAAAAAATAACTTGCAAATAACCATAAATTGTGCTTTCAGTTATATATTATATGTTCATAGAAATCTAATTTGGCGCCTTTGTTACTTACTTCTCATCATGCTCGAAGCTTTGTGTGCGCCTCAAGATAACATCTGATGTTTCTGTGGTGCTGTTAGTCTTACTAACATCTTTTTCAGGAACTTCTGCAAATGGTAAATAAAAATTTGTAAAAAAAATATTTCATTTTTTTTTAAATAAGAAACAATAGTTGCGCTTGGCACTCACGATTTTTCGTTGGACTTTCATTCTGTGTGCGCGCACGTGCCAAACTGTTGCGTCGCCAAGGCGCTTCATCCTCAGCGGTTTGGTTATCTGTTGCGGCAATTGTAGATGGTTTAGTGGTGTCATTAGTTTGTTTTGATTCATCTACAAAGAGTTAGAAGCAAATATGAAATGAGTATTAAAAATAATAAAAAAAAAACAGAAACAACGAAAACTTAATTGACGAAACTTATAAATAATTCGTAGCGAAACGTAACAACAAAACCGCTAAATGGCGTACATAAAATAAAAAATTAATAAAAAATCAAATATTTTGGAAGAATCATGCAAAAAAAAAAATTCAAATCTAAAACCAAGAGGAAATTGCAAAGACTGTAGCAGCTATTGCCGTTACAGGGACCATAATACTAAAAAATATAAAAATATCACAAACAACATATGCATATTTAAATCAAACTCGCATAAATTTTCACAAATCAACTCAACCAATAAGATAATCAACAAACTACGGCATTTCCTATTTCCAGTAAATTTAAAGTGATTTTTCGAAATTCATTCACCGCATTCGCCGTCATGGAAATGCCATAGCTTCGCAAAACATAAACACACAAGCACACACACACACATACACACATAAACTATCAGACGCATTCTCCAAAGATACCTTCAGGTTCGGATAGACTGGTCGAATGTGAGCTCTCTGTTGAATCGGTGAGTTCAGAATCAGTTTCATCATATTCAGCTATACGTGCAAGATTATGAGAGTCCAGCTGATCATTACTATCAATCATTGGCAGTTCATTTGCAGTTACAGAAGCTGCTAGGCAACATGTATTTACAGTTTACGGAACGGTACACAAACAATATGTATACGATGAGCCAAGGTAAAGTTGGAAAGTAAGCACAATTATTGGCGTGATACATTGTAAGACATAATGTAATACAAAATATTGATATATGGTTTATTTGTATAATTGTTAAAATGGTGGAAAATGCCGAGGAGTGAATAGAAAAAGTGTTTCACAAATAATGTTTGTATATGAAATGCAAATATGGCAGTGAGTGTTGGAACTCAAGAGGAAATTGAAACTATAGAATAGAAACTATGATAGAATAAATTTAAGCTCGTGCACAAATAATTTAGTTTTTTTAACGACCATGTGAACCTGAATAATTGAAGGTAACATATAAAATGAAAACAACAAACAAAGACAGACAACAAACAAACGATGGGAGTTTGGCAATAAAGAAAACGAGTTAAGATATAAATAAATTAGTGAATATACTTTAAATAATCAAAATAAGTATGTATGATTCTGTGTGTACTAATTTTTAAATACATTAATGCATTTGCGTGTGTTTCTGCACATACCATTCACTTGATCCTTGGACTGATCCGATTTCACTTCCACTCGTATAATTTTCGTTGGCGTATTATCAATGTGATTTTCAATTTTATCTGAGATTCTATCTCATACATTTGTATGTGTAAGAAGAAAAAAAAGACGAAAAAATTGATTACAAAACATTGTCAATCTTTTACAAACGAAAATGAGCAACCTGATTTGACTAGATGGACGTCTTTTGACACGTTTATTGCTGGTACTACGTAATTCCTCCAAGAATTTCGCCATTTTACGATCGGCCACATCGATGCACGTTTGACCGGCATAATTGCGTATATCCATATCGGCCATGGCATTAACAAGCATATCGGCTGCCTCCTTTTGGCCCCAATGCGAAGCCGCATGCAACGGCGTCCAGCCGTCATTGTCCTGTTTGTCAACATTAGCACGCCCAGCGAGTAGTAAACTAATAACCTAGTGCGCGTGTATCAAAAAAAAAAAGAAAATTATTAAATTTCACTATGAGCACAAAATAATATTTGCATACCTTCGTATAACCCTTAGCTGCAGCTACATGCAACGCTGTAGCACCTGTTTTCGGATGCGGCCGATCTACTTCGGACGCATCGCTGCGCAACCATTTTTTGGCATCACTCAACATTAGCTGCTCCTCCGCTTGGCGCGCCTTCTCACAGTCGATATTGTGTTCAGTCATCACGTTTTGCATGAAATCCATCATTGCCAAATGTTGTATATCGACAGCCAAGTCCACGGCCAAATCACCATCACTATTCACAGCCGCTGGATCGGCGCCATGTTCCACCAAATAGCGTGCTATGCTTACGAAGCTGCATGTGAGCGGCGAGGCAAAAAAAAAAGAGGGAAAAAATTGGAAAAAATTAAATATGGTTGAAACAGTGCAGAAAGAAGAAAAAAAGTGATTGGTAAATAATTTAATTATATTGCGAAAGAAGCAAGAAAGCAAATGTTTGAATTTTTTTAAATTTATTTTCTGTTAATTTTCTTTTCGTTCCATTCCATTGTAGCGTATAGCTGTCAAATTTCGCTTTCAAAAGCATTTGGTAAATTGCTTACTCACCCGCATGAGGCAGTGGCATGTAACGGCGTCCAGCCTTCATTATCTTGTCTGTTTATATCAGCGCCATGTTCGATTAGAAATTCAACCATTTCTAAATTATCATCAATACAGGCCTACAAATAAATTAAACAAATGGTTATTTTAATAAAAATGCCTTGCTTAAAATTATGGCAAATAAAAAATTTAAGTGATAAAATCGAAAAAGGTTATAAAAATTATTTCAGAAATGATTTTTTTCGTTATGAAAAGGTTTAAAACTGTATAAAATAATCCTAAATGTAGGCAACATATTAGCAAACTATGTAAATTATGTTACTTATGCATCGAACAAACGTTGTCTACATTTAGGGTGATATTAAAAATATATATGCACTACATAATATAAACATATTAATAAAGTTTTAAAATTATTATGAAATATGTGCACTAAGTGTTTAATTTATATATTTTTTTTTTTGTTATATCAAAATTATTTGAAATAAAAATTATTTTCGATTCAAGCTGCATTCATGTATTAATTTCTAATGACCTAACAACTCTCGAATAATAAGTAACATTAGGCCAAAACTAATATGCTCTTTTATGCTAGACTTATTATGAACATTGACTCTTGCCTTAAGAGTAGTTTCCTTTTTCGATTAGTGCGTTTGATATCGTTGAAAAAGTATCAATCTATCTGCGATATGTTGTTTCTTTTAGAAATCTTTTAATTTTTGCGCTAAAAATATAATATTTGAAAATTCTTTGGCGTTTGCAGAGTAGATGCTAGTACAAGATTGCTTGAGACTTGCGAATTTCAGAAGAAGCGTAGTGAAAGGGAGCCGCATTGAAAGTGAACCATTTACAGGTAGTGTTTATTTTCAAGCCCCTTCACAAGACCACAGAGGGTAAATCGAGTGACGTATTTGCGCGGGCTTTCATTCACGCATTCGTCAGATTTCCAAATTATAAAGCGCACGATTTATGGAAAAGAGTTTCAGTCTTAAGAACTTCCGTTAAGAGTGAAATTCACCTCTATATTAACGAGTCACATTCTTCAATTCATATGCAAAGAAATATATATATATTTACATACATACGTATATATAAACCGAATTTTTATCGATAAAAACAGAATATGAAATAAACAATAACAAACTCCAATACGGCAGCGATAAGATTAAAAATAAAAATAATAGAAAATTTTAAATCAAATGGAATTCTGAATAAAAATGATGATGATGTCATCGCTTCTCCCAGTGCTCGACAAACTGTGCTCCTGAACTGATTGTTGTTGTATAAGGTGGTGGTACGCGCTGGTGGAAAATATATTTCACGCTTCATGCACTTATATACAAACACACGAACACAGCGCTACATACGCATGTGTACATGTAGTTTATACACAGTAACTATAAAAATAGGTATGTAGGTCTGTATAAACAAAAACAAATCAGTGCAAAAAAAAAAAACAATAAAAAAAATATTAGCAGCAAAAGGTGCAAAAATCCACATTGCCTGACCATAAGAGTTTGCTGCCGACGGTTTTCTCCCATTCTGTGAACGCTCACTCGCATTATTTAAATTTTATAGCACACATTTTGATAACGGAAATTGAGAATACCCGTAGATGAATAAAGTTAAAACCGATTAAAAACACATATACAGACAGATATATATATATATGTATAAGGCATTTTGGCAATTACTTATTTTGGTATTCCGAGGAATGCTTAAACGCCACTTCTTTTCAGCGTCGCCTCACACGTTGGCGCTTGCGTTTCAGCCGACTGTGTACTTTTCTATTCTTTTCTGTTTTTGATTTTCAGTTATTTGTCTTATCAATTTGGATAAAGCATTTCGATTAACACAATAGAAAATGTAGCAATGAAATTTGATAATTTATGAGGAATGCGATGAGTGTTCAGGAGAAACAAAAAAAGTCAATCGCAAGCGTGTAGTAGTAAATAAAAATATGCGTATAGAATTAGAATTGTTTGGAAGAAATCATAAAGATGAGAACGACAGAACAATTTTGAATATAAATCAAATAAAAAATATTTATAGTTTAGTATAACTTTAAAAAATATATTCTTTTTTCGGTACAATAGCCCCGTAAGGTATAAAACTCTGTACTGAAATCCTAAATGTAGGCAACGTTTCATTTCGATACGCCATTTATGTTATATACTGTGTATATACTGAAAAAACGTTGCCTATATTTAGGATGATATTAATAAATTAATAAGAATGCAGCAATAAAATAAATATTCTGAAAAAACAACAGCATATGTATATGTTTAGAATATCTATAAAGTTCTCAAATAATTTTATAAGCTCCATTAAATGTTAAGAACGTTTTTAACACCCCTTTATTTATTTTTTATTGTATTTATTATATTTCTTATAACGTATTTATTTGATATAAATATTATTTTTGATTTAAGATTCATTAAAGTTTTTAATAGCCTAACTTAAAACGAAATGCCCGATGTTTTAACCACAAAACTGCGCACAAATCAATGAGCAAGCAGTGAAATGTTCGAGTAAAACTTTTCTTTCAATAAATCTTTATTCCAAGCTGGTGTTAAATATGACGTAAATTACTAAAAATAAATGAATGAAAGTGTTTAATGACTCCTTTTCTATTTTCGTGCTTAAAATGTAAGCAATTGGACGATGACAAAGTCAGTTTCTGATATTTAAAGTGTATGAATGCCTGAATTTTCTGAAAAAATTTGCTTTAGTAACAAGTCGCCTCTTTTTCAGCAATAGATAGCTTTAGTGATCTGCATTTCCCAGTCTATAAGTGCGATTGGAATACACTAAATGGTTTTAGAAAGACGATATTTTGTACTAAAGAAGATAACGGAAGAAGTATTGAACACTTAACCCAGTAGTGTCAAAGGTGGACACAATCAATGAGAAAATACGCTATATTCTATAAGTTTTCTACGATAAAGGCGAAAACGAAAAAAGCAGCTGAAACTGTGAATGGTGTTTGTGGTCCCGATACTGTAACAGTAAATCCCATACAATTTTGGTTTCGTCGAAAAAGCTGGATACTCAAAGAAGCTCGATATATGAATGCTCAGAGAAATCTCATGAACGGAATTCCCTTCAGCGAATCGTACTAGATCGAAACAAAGTCGACCAAAAATGGATGGTGACCGGTGATAAAAACTGGATCACTTACAGCAACGTCAAATGAAATCAAACTCGGTTAAAGGGCAGTAAGCCGGCACAAACGGTCTCTAAGCGAGGATTGACGACAAGTATGGTTTAGTGGTGGGGTTGGCAAGGAATCATCCACTACAAACTGCTCCCAGCTGCTCTGCTGAATTCAGATCAGTACGGTCAGCAATTGGACCGTCTAAAGGAAGTAATCACCCAGCAGCGCCCTGCTTTGTTCCGAAGAGGAGCAGAATTGTGTTTCATCAGGACAACGCCAGATCAAACACATCGATATTGTGTTCCCAAAATCCCCAGAGCTTGGTGGAGAGGTTCTTATGCAAACACCTCATAGTCCAGACCTCGCACCAAGTGACTACAATTTGTTCCTATCTATGCCGAGTGATTTGAATGCTGAATGGTGGAGTAGAGGAGCCTGTGAAAATCGATTATCCCAATTTTTCGCCAATAGGGACAAGGGTTGCTATGAGAGAGATATAATGACATTACCTGGGAAAAAGTTATGGAGAAAATGGTGCGTAGTAGATATGAATCAAATAATTCTAACAGTGGTAAAAAAAGAAGTCTTCAATTTAATGCAAAAATAATGACTTACTCTTCTCTGAGCAATAATTTGAGTGGCCAGGTGGAGGTTGGACAATTAACTTAGCTTACTTAATATAAATATTATTATATTATTATTAACTTTTTCTTTTTTTTATTGTGAAATCATTACTTATAGACTTCCCGAAATTTTCTCCCCTAATTTTTAGCTCACGGAAAGTAGTGTAAATAGAAAGCTCCCCATTAAAATAAAACGGCCGTTCGGAGGCGGTTTAAAATAAACTCTATGGCCCCTCCATTTGTTGGAAAAACACCAAGACACCAACTGGAGGAGGAGCTCGACCGCAAATCCTTTTCATTCATAAACTACTATTCCATAATCCTACACTCTTCTGTTGCATATTCCTTACTTTTGATTACTCAAAACACGAAGATGAGTAATTCTAATGGAGATTAATCGAAGCTAAATAAGGAAATCTTTATTGATCTTTAAATAAAAATATTTTGACAAGAATTGCTTTAAATAGCCAATTGAAATGAAAATTTACATTAGATGAAACATAAAAATTTAAAAAAAAAAAAAAATAATAATAATAAAAATAATACCAGGCCAAACCGAATAATATTGGAATGAATAATCGTGGAAAAATTATGAAATGAAAAAGCCGCCAAGTGCCAGAATTTCCGTTATGTACGTCTGAAATAATGCATATTTGTCTATATAATAGAAATGCTGGGTCCCATTGATTTTAAAGAGAATATTTACAGAGCCAAATCCATACATACATACATCCATACATTTGTGTGCCTATAAAACCGAAAGCACCGCAAACGCAAATGTTTTGGAAATTTGTACAATCTGCACAAATATGTAATGACTGAATGTGGGGAAACGATTAAATTGCTTACATTTGTATGTGTGTTCAAAAAAAAAAAAAATATATATATATATATACATGTATATAGATATGAATGAAATGTACGAAACGACTACACATTTGCTGATGCCGTCAATGCAATTGATGTTTGCAAATTCAACGCCATTCGTACATATATACATACATAAACATATAGTATATTTACACAGAAGTAACAAACATATAAACATAAAAAAGTATGTACATACTTTTATGCATATATATATTTGTGGATATATTTTTGTTCAACATGTCAATGGGTCTCTGCCGTCACTTTATTTGGCGAAGCTCCGCCGCATATTTGCTCATCTGCGTACTTACATATTTACATATGTACTTAGCACAGAATTAACCTAGATTTTTTCCAAAGGAATTTTCATCATCATCATCCGTTTTTTGCACTGCTTAATAGCGTAGTTTGGAACGATAAATGCTGAGGGCAACAAAAAAATTGCTTCGAGCTGGAAAAACTACGGAAATAT